CAACTAAGCAATAGCTTTTTCTTAAAAGGTTCTTTCCCGTACGCAACGCGAGATCCCACAGGTGCCCAAAACAGCCCAGAAATTATTCTCGTACTCAACAAAATTTGTAGGTTATTTTCTCATTGGTAGGATGGTAGGACGCTAAATTTTGGTGGGCTTCTTTGATCAACAGAAAACATCTCTGGTTTATTGTAGTGGGTCATTTTGTCAGCATTGTGGGAAGGCCTGCCAAATTCTGACTATATCAAACCAGGAGCTTGGGGAAAATTAATGGATGAAAAAAACCAAAAACATACTACAAAATACCTCTCCATTTAAAAAAAAATTGTAAACCGACTCTTCTCCGTCCTTCTCTTTAAAAAAAGGTATATTTACTTTTTTTTTCAAATCAGGGACCGTAACTCTTATGACTTTTATCAAAAAAATCAAAAAATAAGAGTTATTTTTGATTTTAATATACAGTGAAACTTCCTTGGGCGGACACTCACCGTCAGTCATTTTTTCCGCCCAAGAAAGGTGTCCGCTTAATGGAGGGGAAGCCTATTTTAGAACTTTTCAATGTTTTAATTAATTGAATAGTCACTATTTCTTATTTGAATAAAATATATTGATATTACATCGTTCAAACAAAAATGTGCATGTATTTTTTCAAAAGTGCACATTTCATTTATGTGCGTAAGTACATATTAAGTAATAACAAAATAAAATAAATATTACATTTTAGTCCATAAACTACATAAAATCATAGATTCATTACATAAAAAACTGGGAAATTGTCGATTGACGTAAGTTTTATTTTTAATTTTTTTCAGTGTCAGTACCTTTTTCATCAATAGTTTTCATGTTATTTATCAGTCTCCAAGGGTTTCAGACAATTTAAATAACGAACCTAAACCACTGCGCAAACCAAACTAAATGTGTGCATAACAATCACATTTTGTGCGGGAAGTCCCCTTTTTCCATTTAGTAGTCCGCCTATGAGGAGTTCGCGTCCGCTCAACGGAGGTTTTTGTTTGATTTGTTATGAAAAGAAATCTTAATGTCCGTTGATAAGAGGTTCGGTCCGCCCAATAGAGTTTTTGTGTCAATTTTATGCAAAATAACTGTCCGCGTGCCGGCCAAGAGAGTGTCCGCTTAAGAGAGAGTAATTTGTTCCGAAATTTATACTTAAAACTTGGTATAGAAAAAATGTCCGCCCAAGGGAGGTGTCCGTTAGGAGAGGTTTCACTGTATATTTAGATCAAAAATAAAAGTTATTTTTGATTTTTATATATTTAGATAACTTTCATTTTTGATTTTTATTTTCTTAGATGAAAAATAAAAGTTATTTTTGATTTTTATATTTTTATATCAAAAAATAAGAGTTATTTTTGATTTTTATATTTTTATATCAATAATAAAAATCAATTCAAANATATATTTAGATAACTTTCATTTTTGATTTTTATTTTCTTAGATGAAAAATAAAAGTTATTTTTGATTTTTATATTTTTATATCAAAAAATAAGAGTTATTTTTGATTTTTATATTTTTATATCAATAATAAAAATCAATTCAAAATTGTTATTTATTTATTTATGCCGTATGAAATTATATCAAACTTTTACTTTTTCAGTTTTATAAATAAGCAGTGCTCATCACAACTTCTCCCTCGCGATTGAATGCTATCATGTAATATGCAATATGCATTGAAATTAGCAAATTGAAAACAACAATAAGATTACGCTAATAATAAAAGGTGTACGGTTATAATAACAACAATAAAAATGAAAGAACAAATAATAGCGTTATTTCAAGTTCAGGGGCAATACACAGCATAAGTTAGAAACTTTGTTACAAACATTTTGTTGATATTATAACCGTACACCTTAGTTTTACTTTAATGCGTAACAGGGATTAAGAAACATATTATGTCATGAATTTTGAATTGATTTTTATTATTGATATAAAAGTATAAAAATCAAAAATAAGTCTTATTTTTTTCTAAATACATAAAAATCAAAAATAACTTGTATCTTTGATCTAAATATATAAAAATCAAAAATAACTCTTATTTTTGATCTAAATATATAAAAATCAAAAATTTAAAAATCATACAATATTTTGCATATANTCTTATATTTTTCTAAATACATAAAAATCAAAAATAACTTGTATCTTTGATCTAAATATATAAAAATCAAAAATAACTCTTATTTTTGATCTAAATATATAAAAATCAAAAATTTAAAAATCATACAATATTTTGCATATAGTTCACCAAAAAATCATGATGGTGTAATCAAAACTTTTCTACGATGTTCATTTATGTATGATTTTTTTATTCAAAAATTGAAAAATAACTCTTATTTCCGGTCCCTGTTTCAAATGCGTACTTTTTAGAAAAAAACTTTCAGGAACAAAATTTAATGATGGAAAGAGTTCTGCTTTTACCAATTTTACGCTCGTTCTGTTTCTCGGATGGGTTCAACTGTTTGCCATTATATCCAATCTTTTAGAAACACGTTGTGCTTACTGGTATAGACAGAGTTTTGCCAATTAGATTTGGCGATTCTCTGAACTTCGCATACGACTATAAAAAAGTTTCATCCAAAGGCAGGTTTACAAATCAGATGTTTTTCTTTGGAATGAGAGTTGCGAATCGATTAAAGTTTTAACCTCAACTCGAAGAAATTGATGCCAAACTCACAGCGCGGAGATGTTTTCCAAGCCAGGAGGCTCCTAGCGAAACCCGGACATTTGGAAACCAAACTGTGGATTATCATTTTACCTTACTTATATATACAACATGATATACGTATGCAAATGAGCGAAGTATAAAAAATCTACGACGGGATTTTATTTCCTCCTACGATTTTTCACGTCATTTACTCCGAAGGCTTTTTTAAAATTATTCTACTGATCTCTTCTATTTACCTGAATATCTTATGGCGTTTTCATTTCTACAAAAAATGTTGCCTTTTCATGGCCCTCTCCTTAGTATTTGTGCGTAGAGGGCACAGAAAAGGCAACATTTTTCGGTAGAAAGGAAACCCCATTACTTTAAGCATAAAAACCCACAAAAATAGATAGATTTAATGCTGTCAAACGTCATTTCCTTGAAATGGTAGGTAGGAGGAAGCTATTTTGGTTGGTTTTTGAATCAGTTATTGGTAGGAAAGAAAATTTTGCCGTGGCAATTTGCCTACATACACACATAACTATTTATGTATGTTTATGCAAGCGTATAGTAAGTAGGGTGTTCACCCACCGTATTCATCCCTGCTAGCTGTACCCACGCACTACATTAGATGCAAGTAAATATCGTAGTTTAAAGTACAAAACCGCGTATCAACAAAATGCAAAACCGCGTATGTGCGGTTGCATAAATTATTTTCTAGAGACTAAAAACACTAATATCCTTATCCATTCGTCCTGAAAAATACTGGCCAGGTATGCGATTATTTTATAAAAAAGAGAACCATTTTGAAATATGAGTGTTTCTACTCTCTAGAAGATAATTTATATAATTCACAGACGCGGTTTTGCATTATCTTGATACGCGGTATTGCATTTTGTTGATACGCGGTTTTGTACTTTAAACGACGGTATGTATGTATGTTCGTGTTCATTTACGTATTTCCAGCATACCACTTTTCTACATCCACGTACATATTTACTAGGTACATATGTAGTTATATTTACATATGTATGCACATAAGTATACAAGCATAAATATAACACTGTGTTTTTGCGCTTCAAATTTCGATTGGAGAGCTACATATTTATGTATGCATTTATGGATGTATGTATGGATGTATGTATGTATGTATGTATGTATGTACGTACATATGACCTCGTTTCTTCATCTATGGAGTTATAGTAAATAACATTGTGCCAATTTTTTTTCCTTTTAGATTTAGGTCATATTTTTTATTTAATCGAAAAAGGCATTGGTAAGCGTTTGTCCTTAACTCGTATGTACATCTGTGGAATAATTTTTATAGCAGAATATTGACGAAGCGCTATTTTTGTGGGCTATACTGTTTATACATATGTACATAGATCACGAAACGAGTATTACCAATTATCACACAAATTAGAGGAATTTCGAGATATAGGTAGCGTATGAAAATACGATTTCTTAAGATCTTTTATTTAAACTGGCTTTATCGTGAAAAACAGCAACGTTCGTAATTTCATCAGTTGCGAAGTATAAAATTCTAACAATTAAGACTGTGAGTTACAGAACGTCTTTGGAAAAACAAACGCAAAAGTAGCGGTAAAACCCATTTGCCTTTTCCGTTATATTTCTATAATTACAAGTAATAGGCATTACGAACAAAGGTTACGAATTATAGAAGACCTTTGTCAGACACGAAGTACTAACTATTATTTGTTAAGCTGTTCAACGGAGAAAAGATAATTATCGAAGGAAAACAATTCTTTATATACATTTTGTATAAGTTATCGCAATCGGAGCTAACGTGATGTTCCACTTATCGAGCTTACGAGTTATCGGGACTCCACTAATAACAATAATAATAGATTGGCGCTTACACATATGTTAGTGTTTGGCCGAGCTTCTCCTCCGATTTGTGGCGTGTGCCTTGATGTTGTCACACAAAGCGGAGGGACCTACACTTTTCCGCCGACTCCGAACGGCGATTCTGTTTTTATGAGAAGCTGTTTTTCATGGCAGAAATACACTCGGAGGTTTGCCATTGCCTGCCGAGGGACGACCGCTGTAAAGAGAAAACCGTTTTCTATATTTTTTGCGATGTTGCTTTGACCATGGCTTGAACCCAGGCGTTGCGAGTGGAAGCGCGCACTGCTTACCACTATACCTTTTTCTATATTTTTTGCGACGTTGCTTTGACCAGGGCTTGAACCCAGGCGTTGCGGAGTGGAAGCGCGCATTGCTTACCATTACACCACAGCGACCGACGGGGACTCCACTGTATGTATTTGATTTAATGATGTGATATTAATTTCTTTTATTTTAATCTCAAAATACTCACTTATTTTGCGTCGTTAAGGAAAATGGCACCTCAATGCTGTGTGATGCTGTTCGGCGGCGATCGCCACCCATATCGGCTAGACGTGCGAAGTCCGTGTCGCGTTCTTGATCGGCCAGGCGTGCTGAGCGTCGCGATTCAAGCAGACGCACCTCCTCCAAACGTTTCCTTAGCTCAATAGGTTCCTACGTAAAGAAAGTATAATAATATTATATGTAGTTAGATTTATTGTTGCAGATGATTCATAAAATGTGTATGTATATGTATATATGAATATATAATTTTTTTTTTATATGTAATTTATTTTAATGTATAGAAAAAAATTAATCCTATTAAGGTGCAAGTTCAGTGTTTCATTATCAATTTGTATGAATCATCACATCAAACGAAGTTTTTTGTTTTTGTGAGAAATTCGTACTAAACCTGTGTGCATACCTTTCGATTTTAACTCTAAGAACAGAACAATGCTGCTTTACTATCGATCTGGTATACCTTGACCTACATAAATACATAGCTGTTATGTATGAACATCTGAACCTATCAAAATGGTATACATATGTATATACATATGTACATAGATACGTTTGTATATTGCATTCACGGATATGTACATATGTATAGAGTTATCTTAATATATATACAGAATGAAAGGTCCTAACATATTCCTTTTTTATAGAGTATGTAGTTATAAATCTAGAGTTCATGAGCTACGATTTTTTTTAATTACACAGATTTTAATTGAGTTTTAATTTCTTCATGTAGTCTTCTTCTTCTTCTTTTTTGGCGCTGTAACCGCCTAAGCGATTTTGGCCGAGTTCAGACAAGCACGCCAGTCGTTTCTCCTCTGTGCCAACTGACGCCAATTGGAAACGCCAAGTGAAGCCAAGTCCTTCTCCACCTGATCTTTCCATCGCAGTGGGGGCCTCCCTCTTCCTCTGCTACCACCAGCGGGTTCCGAGTTGAATACTTTCAGAGCTGGAGCGTCGGTGTCCATTCGAACGACATG